GAGAGGGGGGGGGGGTTGAATATAATAATTAGTCTTTTCTTTTGGAAAACATAGTTCTCTTATTATTATGATTATGTTTAGTAAGGTATTAAACTCCCCCTCTCCCTTTCCAATATAGCATAGTTGTAATCTCATCATATACAAGCATCCAACTTTTGTTAAGTATAAAAATTAGTTGTTGGTTTATTTGTTTTTGTTCCCTACAGATGGAAGACATAGTATCAGAACGGTGGATCCAAATTCAACAGTTTGAGCAGGCTCTTCAACTTAAAGAAGTATTTTCTCACAATACAATTTGAACCAACTGCTCATAAGGATTTCTAAAATTAAACATTTTTTTTTGTCACGCCATGATGGCTGAATGAGTCTATTATAATGTTCCTATTCTCTTTTAACAGATAAGATTGAAGGCTCAAAGACAAGCAAGGCATCCAAGATGGACTTTTTTAAAGGTAACGTCAAGATATTTCTGCTCTGTCTTGATCTTTATGTATGTTGATATGTGTTTATAAAAAAAAATTGAAGTTCTAATAACTCCCACATTATGAACAATGGCAATGCTTACTTAAAGACTAATATGTCTCTTTTGCCCGATACATTATCACAGATGTAGGCTTTGACCAAATTTATTCCTTTGTGGTGATTTACAGTTTTTCAGTTACCTTTCTGGTGAATATCTTCCAAATGCTCATGGGCTGTTGAGTTCACATTTCAGTGAAGAGTCTGCGTTGAGAGCTTACGTATCTCAAACCTTCTCCTGGCTAAAAAGATTCTATTCAACAGTAAAAGAGTCCCACCATGAGGTTTGTACTAACCTACGTGCTTTCTTGATTCTGTACAACATTTTTTTCCCCTTATTTTCTCTGTGATGAATCTCTCATCGGTCATTCTTTTACTAGATGTTGTACAGTTTAAAGTTTTTCGTTGGTCAAAATTTGTTGTTGATGATAAGTTAGAGAGCTGATCAAATTGAATTTGACACAACAATTCAGCCATTAGATACTGGTTCTCTCAACCTCAAAATGATTGAGAAATAAGGTCGTGACTTGTGATAGATTGCCGTTCTCTGTTTTTATACAAGCTCTCAGTTTACTGAATCATGAACGTTAAGAACTTTACTACTCAACATCTGTTGATATGATCCATCTGTTTATTTGGGGTTTCTTTCTTTGAGCTTAAGTAGAATATGGTAACTGTTGCATCATCTGCACATTGGCCAAAATACCATGGTGATTGTGATGAAAAATTAACCCTTGTCATTTCACTATTTGTAGTTGCAAGTTTTCGTCAAACAGGAAATGGAAAGACATGAGTTCACAGCCTGTCTTGCTAACAAGGAAATAGTATTTTTCGTGGTATGCGTGCCTATCCAGTTCCCAAAGTCTCTTTTATATTTAATAAAAACAGCAGTATACGACTCTGCATCAACTATTTAGCTCTTTCTAATGGAATCAAACATTTCTATGAAATTTATGAAATCACAGGCTTCTGCTTTAATCATCTTCCCTGCATTGAGTGCTTGGATATTGCTCTCATCACTGCTGTGCTAGTCGAGAGAAGTTTTCTCAGAGAGAATTTTCACAGCCTGTTCTATTAACAGGAAGCCAAGGACACTCACTGAGCATCATTTTTCCTGCTCTTTTAGTAAGGAAGAGTGAAACAGTTTGATCTGTGCCAGTGATGTTGTTTCATCTTCTTCTTGGATCATGCTGGAGTTTTGTTTCCAGATTCACTACTGGTTCTCATGCCCGAATCAATATTGTTGTCCCATGTCATCTGTATTTAGTTGCAACGTGGGAAATGGAGTTATTGCTTCATACTCGTTGCTATCATGATAGCCTAAACATGCTTCCTTTATGATCCTTTCCCCCGTTTTTCTGGGTTCTTGTGATTAAACTCCCAAAATTTTGTTATTGTACATAGGACAGCAGAATTCTCACTGATTTTATATAAATATGAAATGTAAACGGGTCCGTTGGATAAAGGAATTCAAGGATGGGAATGATTTGGCACTTCATGGCCAAACCGTGTGTGACGATGTCCAATGTCGCTGCTCGCACCAAGTTGCATTTTCGTTGGTAGATAGCTTAATGTATGGGAATCATGACAAAGGCTAATTTGCTTCAATGCATACTGTGTTGATTAAAATATGCCTTTTGATTACCTCGTTTCTTAAATCCACATGTTCTTGGACTTCCCGATATTCTAAATGTCAGACGTTATGTTCTCATCACTTGAAATGTTGACCTTCCAGTTTATTTGCTTTATTTTCAATCCAAGTTATTTCAGGAGTAATGGCACTCTTTATATTAGGCATCTGCTTAATCGTTGTGCAAAAGGCAGCGTTTGTGCTCCAATAACATAGAAACACACCACGCCAAACTGCGAAATTCTTACCAAAAGGCCATTTTGCATAGCGTTTGGCGGGCCTACCTCCATGGTAAATAGTGTCAAGCATTTGTTCCCTCGGCACTTCTTATCCAAATCTCAGCCTCATCCTCAAGAGTGTGGTCAATGAAGCAATGGAAAACACGACATGGGAGCAGAGACTTCAAGCCCTAACCCATCTTCTAACCAGCCCCACAACCACACCACCTCTCTACTCTCAGTTTTTCATCTCTACACAAATCCCATGCTATCTCAAATGGGACTATCCACCCATCCTCTGCACCAAAGACACCAAGACTTTCCCTTCTCTCCTTCTAAGATGGGGATTCTCTCTCTTTCTCAGAAGAGCCTCCAGATTAGGATGTCCTGAAACTTCTTGGAGGTCCAAGTGCCCATACCAACAGCCTCCACCATTAATTCTTGCAAAGGGATTAGAGGAAGCACAGTGGGGCGATGAACAAAGAAGAGAGTATGTTAGAAAGAGGCTTAGAAGGAAAAAACTTGTTAGTAACGTTAACCCTTTCATTCCTATTTTAGTTCCCAATCTTTTACTGTTTTCACTTATGCTGTGGAACCCATTTCCTGATCTTGATTCTTGAGATATGTCTTGCGGGATTGTAGCACGCATGTGCAAGCCATCTTTCACTAATTTCGGCATTAATTTTGAATTTGTTATCATTTTGACTTTGGGTACTTGAATTCCGATTGTTTCTTCTATTCCTTTCCGTTCATTGTGACCTGCATACGTATCTTATAAGTTGGAATGCCCTGGCAATTGGAAGGACCAGAAGTTGTGGTATCCATCGATTGCATCCACTAAAAGATGATGGAGAAGCATCAAATGTGAGCAAGAAATACTGAGACCACTAAACTGTACCCACAAAAGTCAAACAAATTGGACAATTATGAAGGCCCAAAGAGGCTACAACGTTTTTTTTTCGTACATTGCTTGAAGCTAGGTCACACAGTAAACGGTACCCTAAGCCTAATGGGATGAGTTTATTGCTGGATTTATTATAGTATTGTAGATTTGTTTATAATTATAATACCAGTCAACTCTCAATTTTGCGCAAAATTTGAGATTCAAATGTGCTTCAGAGTGGAATGGATTGACAATAGTTAAAAATCAAAGGAAAATAATATACTGTGGAATACTTCTCTATTTTCCTCCCGAATTGCCATTGCCAGCGCCCACTTTGACAAGCTCCCTCCCTCCGCTAATCAAGGAAGAAAAAACACTTCAAAAAAAGAAAAAGAAGAAAAGGCAAAAACCAGAACTCCTTTTGCCTTTAATTGAGTGGTCAAACCACCAACGTTGACAAGTGAGAATTGGGGGGCAGGTCATCTACATGTTGTTATGATATGGATGGATAGCAGTACTTGTGGTGAATGAAACTTGTATTTTCCTTTCTCCTCCTCCTCTCTAGGAAGGGAAAACACTCAGCAGCTACTTGAAAAATGCACGAACAAAGGAAATTTCTTTGCCTTTACCTTTTTTCCCTTTAAACAGTTGCTATTCATATTCCAAGCTTTGAAGGGACAAGGTGGCTTTCCTATCGTTTTCCCTTTTCCATGAGTTATGGTTTCAATTAAATTCTGGATTCCTTGAATTAGTGACATGAAGACATAAAATATAGGAGAGTCCAATAGTTACAAATGTTATGCAATTTCTTAATTTGTTACAAAAAATGGTATACATTATCTCCAGGACATGAAACATTGTTTTTTGTTTGAAGAAAAACAGAACACTCATGAGAGCTACACCAGAGAGACATAAACATTCATTAATAATAGCAATCCTGTTTGGTTATGTTCGTTGTGTGTAATAAACAAACTTGGACCCTATCTCACCAAATATTTGTGTCGCCATTACAGAAACAACTACCAAGTAGGATTAGCCAGTGGACATAGATATAAACAAGCCTTCCCATTAGTAAATTTAGTCCGAAAAGTTGCCTTGGTTGGTAACAATTTTATGTATAAATGATTGCGTGTAGCAGCAAATACAAGTCCCCAGTTCTACCATCCTGATCCTGGCCTCAACCCCCACAGGAGGAGGGCTCTCTCTAATTGAATTGTTAGTTGATCACTAATTGAGAAGTTGTTTAGTCATAAATAACACCCTGATCTTGCATGTGATCTTCAATCTGGATAATAAAATCTATCAATCCAACGGATGAGTATTTCTAAAGTATCCAGCTAGCAAGCCATAAATTCTAACTGTCCTTCGTGATTTTGTGTTAGATAAAAGAAAATCTTAACAAGCCATAAATTCTAACTGTCCTTGATTTTGTGTTAGATAAAAGAAAATCTTACACATTAATTTTAAGCATATATACATAAAACCCTCTTCATATCCCATTTATATATATATATATATAGACAGCAAACTTATTTAATAAAGCTGCTCTTGGAAGAGCGCATATATATATATAGACAGCAAACTTCTTTAATAAAGCTGCTCTTGGAAGAGCGCATGCTAAAAAAAAGAACATGAATGGTGGTGTCAATCCGTATAGTGAAAGGGTTTGGTGCGTCTACGATCAAATTAAACAAAGGGAAGAGGGCACATGCTGTCTGCACTAAATGGTATTATTTGCTTTGCCCCACCCACCACAATCTACGGCATAATTGCCCGGCCATAGCTTAGCATATTATCATATCCTTCTTTCATCTTTGAAATGGCCAAATCGCCCCTCACATATTAAAGAAAGGACATGATCTTTAATAAAGAAGGCCATATTGATTTCACATTTTTACTGCTTGAATAATCTGCTGCCAGTGACCCCTTCTCTCCGTCAAAGAAGAAATTTCCTTGAGACAAACCCTGGATTCCTTATAACTTAGAGCCCATCATTAATTACCTCGGTATAATCTTGTGTCATAATCCTCAATCTAGCTTGGTTTGCTTAGAAGATAAGATTGATTTATGGAGAGTTAGCATGGATAAGTATTGGTTATTATTTGTATAGTGATCGGCTGATATTTAGGGAAATAAAATTAAAAATCATAGTTTTGGTGCTCTTCCATGATGGCATTCATTAATTATGAAAGAAGAAAAATCAAACGCTAAAGAAATACTTCACTAAAGAAAATTAAGTATGATTGACAAGAGATAAACATAAATCAAATAAAAATAAAGAAAAAGAGAAAGAGTTCTTTTGTTAAAGTTTCTTCTCGTGCAGGGACCACAGTCATCACCAATTCCCTCCATTTGCACCTAAAGAGTTGAAAATGCTGTGGAAAAAAAATCGGAGAGAGTGATTGAAAGGCTTTCTATATAAAGATCGCACCTTCACAAACCCTCCCAGCTCCACTATAGGCCAGTGATACACAGCAACACTATCCCGTCTTTAGCCATGGCTCCCTCTCCAAGACTCATCTCCTTTCTCTTTCTCTTAACCATTTTCTCTAAGCAAATTCATGCTAGAGAGAGCCAGTTCTTTAGCAAAGTCGGTGCCACCACCGCTACTCCCTCCACCACCACCATCAACAACAATAATGTTCAAGATAAAGCACTCCCCAGTAAAGAAGAAGAAAGCTTTAACAAGCAAGAAAAAGATCCAGCCTTTATTCCAGACACCCAAAATGGCTATGGTCTATATGGTCAAGAATCCTCCCGGTTCCCCACCACTACTAAACTAGCCAATGCACCCTACACCACAACCACTTACCAGCCATACAAAACCCAGACCCAAACCCAAGAAACCTACACCAATTATCCAGCTGACTCCACCACCACCAATAACCACTACAACAACAATGCTTATGAGGAGCAGCAACAAAACTTTGGTGAAACAAGCCTGCAAGAAAGTGAATACACCAACATGGGGAACCAGAACAACAAGAAGTACTACAACGGTGCCAATAGCTACAACAACAACAACAACAAGTACTACAACGGTGCTAATAGCTACAACAATGATGAGAAGCAAGGCATGAGTGACACAAGGTACTTGGAAAATGGAAGGTACTACTATGACGTCAATAATGAGAACAGTAACTACTACCCAAATCAGTACCAGCAGAACTCAAGAAACAACTACAATACCAGAGGTTATTACAACAACAACGAGAACTCCAAGTACGAGTACAACAACAACTCCATGCAAAAGTACGACAACCAGGATGATTTCGAAGAGAGCCAGGAAGAGCAGTATGTGCCATGATTTTAATCTATATGGTCAAGTAAAGAAAGTGAGGTCTCTGTTGAATGACAGTGGGTGGTGTTCCTATAGATTGAATTATGTTTAGTGGGGAAGATTAAAAAAAAAACAAAAAACTACATAAATTATTTGTTGTGGTCTTCGATCTTTGTGTGTGATCTTGTTTTATTGTTATCATGGTCTTTCATCCTTCCAAAAGCTAAGGTATGAGAGTTTGTTTTTTTTTTTTTTTCTTACGAGCAATATTGATCCAATAAAGTGTATATTCTACTTATAATAACTAAGGAGATCATGCTTTCCTGCAGTTCCTTTAATTACTTCCAAATCCCAGTTGATTAAATAATTTATACCTTACTAGAATTTAACTATAATCCATAATTAAAGTTACCAATAAAATCTTCAAAATAAGTAATTAAATGGTTAGGTGAATATCCCTTGATTTTATAAATTTACTCTTGCAATCTACCCTAGGAGATTAACATAGGATGGGAGGTTGTGAACTAGTTCCAGTATACTTTATTAGGGAGAGCTCATATCCAATCCAACATAATATAGAAAATGGAAGGCCGATAGTTTTGAGAACTCCTAATGGAAAATATTGTGTTTTTCACACCCATGCTTCCGAATATATATATTAGGTAAATGCAAGATTGCTTCGGCATCTTTTAATTAGTCTTTAATTAATTTGGTACTGAACATTAATTAAGCTTAATTTTTGTTTGTCTACTTCTCTCTTTCCTTTTTTCTTTTGCTTTTTTAATTTATATTTCTAGAAAGATAGATAAAGACGAAAGGAAGGGAAAGA